AAAAAAAATAAGTTAAAAAGGAAAAAAAAAAAAAAAGAAAAGAAAAAAAAGTAGGAGAGCCGGGGAAGGCTAAATTGGGAACCCCGGGAACAAGTCGGGTTTTATTTAGTAGGGAGAGAGACAAGGTGAAGGGCAAAGAAACAGCAGATGGGACTTCAGCTGAAACAGGGACGTTTTAGAAATAGTCCATCCGTGCCCCCACCCACGGCCCGATCCGGCAGCGAGGTTTTCCAAGCGCCAGGGGAGGAGTTATCAGAGTTTTATGAATGTCGATAGACCCTTTTAATAAATATGACCGAGAGGGGAGAGGTTTATTCTCGAGGAAAGCGAAAGTAAAAGGGAACGGCTCCCGAGAAACCTCCAATTCACGGGAGCACTGGAGGTGCTGCCCGGTGGCATCGCCGGCTTTTTCTGCAGAGATTGGTAAAAAATAAACCAAGAAATGCGAGTTTTTACACACAGAATGAGAGGAAGCCCCAAACTAGGTGCGGTTGTGGCGGATGCGGTGAGTTCACACCGTCCCCTATTTGGCAAGGAAAACACGGGGGAAACATCTGCAGTTCTCCGAAAGAGTCAAAATACTTTTGTCAGGGCAGCGGAGCTGTTTTGGGGACTGAAAAAATAGAGATGTTCTGACTCCTAACTAGGCTGTCAGACGCTTAATTTTTCTATTAAGTAACACAGAGGTGCTCATGTGCACCTATTTTCCCTGCAATTAGTAGAAGCCGGCTTTAGGGAGAGGGAGCTACAATTAGTTTCATGACAAAATAAAGCTGCGGTGAGGGATGTCACGGGTAAGCGAAAGCATTTGAATCTCTCCAAGCCGGGAAACGCGTGGGAAAACATCACTGCCTTTGCTGCACTCAGGGACAAGATTTGGGCAAGGGCTGATTAACCCGGCTCGAAATTCTTTCCGTTTAAATCAGAAACCGAAGTCCCGGGAACCGGTTCAAGTAAGTCAGTGACTAAAGGCAAACTTCCCTGCTGAGGAAAGCGGCTGCTCTGCTCGAAACCAGTTGTCCCTACCCAAAATGTGGGTGTCCTCGAGATGACAGGGTGCCTGCAGGAAAGGTTTTTAAGGTCGCTTAGTTCTACCGGCGGGAAAAGGGACTGAGGATGGGCAGGGAGCGCTTCCAGACTCTCCGACACCTTCCATCCACTTCCCAGCCGCCAGTGTGACAGGCGAGAGAACAGGTAGAGGAGGAAGGAAAACGCTCCGTGCGTTTAGCAATAAGTTATTTAACACTGAGGGGCTGTAAATGATTGTTGTCCTCGGGTACAGAGAGCGGGGAAAGCCGGACTCGCGTTTCAGTGACAGCCCCGTCCCGCCCGGGAACGGAACGAGCGCGTCCTGCCTTTTCTGTTGGTGTTTTTTTTTTTTCTGTTTCTGCTGCACAACCTGGTAATGTCTTTGTCTCTCCCCCCACCCCTCCCTCACCCCATCCCGTGTGTTTCCTCCACAGCGGAGTAGCTTTGTCCAGAGCCCACTTTGAAAAGCAGCCACCCTCCAACTTGAGGAAATCCAATTTCTTTCACTTTGTTCTGGCTCTCTACGACAGACAGGGGCAGCCCGTGGAAATAGAGAGGACAGCTTTTGTGGACTTTGTAGAAAATGATAAAGTAAGGCTTGTTACCTTTTCTCCTTCCTCTTCTCCTCTCCAAATTCTCCCCCTTCCCTTCCCCACTGAGAACTTGCAATACCTGTTGTTCCCCCAATAAAACACAACCAGCACTTACTCGGGGTTCAGGTGCTCTCCTGGAGCTGTTGCCCTCTTTGTGCTGCCGTAGTTAAAAAAAGCTTGGGAGCCGCTGTTATATCAGGAACGCAGTGGGAATTTCATACGCCCACTAAAAAATAAAATAAAATTCATAGGGGATAAATGCACCCTTTTTTTCCTATGTATTAGATCTTTATAAGTACCTGAATAGAAGTGGAATCTCACCTGTAAAATGTCATATTATCTCTTGAGTTTGATTATATGTATTTTCAAGACTCTAGGATAACTGGCAGAACTTGGAAAGCATTTGCTTTTGGATTTTAAATCCGTGTCTTGACCACTTCGCATTTTTTTTCCAATTCTTTTCTTAGCCACGGACAGGATTTTTTAAAAATTATGAATCATAAATAACTATCTCATAGGAAATTGCTGCAAAAAAAAAAACCCAAACAAGCAAGACACATCCCTGTAACACAACCCTAAGGAAACAAATACCAATAATGGTTCAAAATAAAACTATTGTAAAGTAATGAACACCTTAAACCCCAAACTCACTGAGCTTTCCCACCGCTTCATATTTGAAATGCACAAATTCTTCTCCGTGCATGGAAAAAGTTGAGAGCACAATGGCAAGGAAGAGAGGGAGAGAAGTTCTTGAACTCCTGCAGGAAAAGATGTCAGCAGTATTTTGTAGTTTGTCCTGGGTCACTCGGAAGGTTAATACACCCCAATCAGTGGGATTCACCTCTCGGAATTTTAATGAACTTTCTTGTCACTTCCATCACGATTCTCCGCTTTTGCATTTTAAATGTGCCAAGTGTAAAGTTCTGGAAGGGTTTTTTTTTCTTTCATTCCCCCCCCCTCCTCAGGAACAAGGCAACGAGAAGACCA